GGTGGTTTCACAGTTTGCACACCTATAGTGATTTAGGTGTTTGGAGATCAAAACTCCATAATTTCATGTGATTCCACTTGCATACAGGATATAACCCATATAGTTAACTCTCAAAGGAAGAATCATCCTTTTTCATCGAGTTTTGAAAGAGATATGTTCATTGGAACATACATATACAAATCTGTCAGATTCGGACAGATTGCATGTTCACTTTGTTTTGAGTAGTTAAAACCTCAAATCACCACAATATTGAATGAAATTAGTGGCATTTGAAAGGTAACTCATTAAACTAATATCCAGAAGAAAAATCAACAATTTTGAATGATTATCTAGATAGTTATGGCTGTTTAAAGTCGGGTTTACCTACTGAAAAACTCTCAGATGCACATATATAATGTTGTAAGTATTTGGGGGGTCAAAACTCAATATTTTTGAGTGAGACCAATTGGATTACAACCCCAACTCAATATATAAACTTTTAGAAGAAATCTCATAACATTTGAACATATCATTTACAAGATATAGACGATTTGTGTACATGCACATAATCTGTCAACACCAAAAATGCCATTTTTAAGAAACAAACCCACATGCAACATGATTTTACCCATTTTCTTGAGTTCTAATGTTTGGGTCATAGATTATCACCATCATATGAACATTTTTACATGTTTTTGGTGTGTAATCTCTCCTTAAAACTCATAATTTTCGGAGGTTAGAAGATAGTAGATAGAAAGAAAAAGAAAGAGATGAGTGTGTTACCTTGTTTGTGGATGAAATGGATGAAATATCTTCAAAAATCTTGCCAAAATGATGAAGATTAAGTTGAAAATCGGCTGAATGAGATGGAGGATGATGATGTTAACTCAAGGTGACTCTTGAGTTTTTAGGGAGAGAAAGGAGAGGAGGTTTTGAAAATTGAAAGGAGAGTTATGAGTAATAAAGAAAAATGATGATTTTTATATGTGGCCAAGGGAGGGAAAGAGAGGGGGGAAAAGGCTGGCCATAAGGCCCAAGCCCACCCTCACACATAATTTGTTTTTTAAAAGAAAGCCCAAAATGCACAAAAGACCATTTTCTC